CTTAAGTAGATTAGCTAAGTTATTCATATCGAAGATTGTTAAATACCATGGGGTTCCAGTTAGTATCATTTCGGATCGGGATCCTAGGTTCACTTCTAAGTTCTGGGTGGCATTTCAGGAGGCTCTTGGTTCGAGGTTACTCTGTAGTACAGCATATCATGCTCATACAGACAGGCAATCCGAAAGGACTATTCAGACGTTGGAGGATATGTTAAGATCTTCTGTATTACAGTTTAGCGACGCCTGGCATCAACGGTTATATTTGATAGAGTTTGCCTACAATAACAGCTACCATTAGAGCATTGGTATGTCACATTTTGAGGCACTTTATGGTAAGTCTTGTCGTACGCCATTGTGTTGGTCAAAAGGTTGGTGAAAGAATGTTGGTGGGTCCTGAGATTGTAGATGAGACTACTCAGAATATTCAGGTAATTAAGTCTAACTTGAAAGTGGCCCAAGATCGACAAAAGAGTCTAACAGACAAGCATGCCACTAACCGGGTGTATAAAGTTGGTGTTTGGGTATTTTTAAAGTTATCATCGTGGAAGGGTGTAGTACGGTTTGGGAAAAAGGGTAAGCTAAGTCCTAGGTACATCGGACCGTATTAAATCACCAAGTGAGTTGGTAAAGTTACTTACAGGCTTGGGTTGCCTCGAAAGTTATCTAAAGTGCACGATGTTTTTCATGTTTCCATGCTTCATCATTATGTCTCAGATCCATTACATGTGATACCTCCCCAACCATTGGAAGTTCATCCAGATTTGACTTATGATGAGGAGCATGTGACAATTTTGGATTGGAAAGACAAGGTTTTGAGGAATAAGATGGTGCACTTAGTGAAAGTTTTGTGAAGAAATCACTTGGTGGAGGAAGCTACCTAGGAGACGGAGGATCGTGTAAGGGATTTGTATCCACGCTTGTTTTATGATTATTAGTGTATTGTTATATTATAGTACGACATTTCAGGGACGAAATTTTCTTAAGAGGGGTAGGTTGTGACAACCCGTCTTGAATGGTCAACTATGCGACAAATCAAGGAGCTAAGCAAGAAGGAATTTCTAGAATGGTTCAAGCAACATGTGAGTTGATATAACAATCACATTATTTATTTATTTTTTTTTACATGCTACAGCCACCTTATCAAATGCCAGTATATCGACCCGAGATGCTTTCTCCTGATGGATTTTCCTCGGATCTTCCAATTGGAGGGTTTTCTGGAATGCTCGCTGGTGCTGCATTTGATGTGGACTTGATGAGGGCTTCCGGATCACAAGGATGATTTGAAGAAGGATCTAGGGCACATTCATGCTCTAGTTCTGTTGAGTAGTTTATTTGGTTTGCTTTCTTATCAGATATGTATGACACTTTGGCCAACATTTGTAGTTTCTATCTCATTTTGTGTATGTTATATTTGTAATGTTGGATTTAGTGTTTGTTATGGCAAATATAAAATGTTTGTTATGGTGGATAATTGTTAGTGTTTGCCACTATTGTTATTGTTAATAGTTTTTATTAATGTTTGTTTTGGCCTATATATGAAATATTGTGGGTATTATTTTTATATAAATTTGTTTTTAATTATTATTAATTAAAACCGAGTCAGTTTTTGTTTTATTATTAATATATTTGGTGTCATTTATAGGTGACATAATATTTATTATTTTATTTAACGAGATGTTTGGTAATGTCGGTTAGTACCGACAATAGTTTGGATATTTTATTTGTTTCTTGTTACATGATGTTGGTTAAGACCAATAGTAGGTTGGATATTTTATTTATTTAATTGTTACTTGATGTCGGTTAAGACCGCCATCATGTCAGGAATTAATGTCGCTTTTAACCGACGCTACTGTTCTTTTTTATTTTATATTGCTTTGCTTCTTCGTGGTGGATTAAAGGGATTAACCGACATCAAAACCTTTTCGTGAAGCTAGCAGTGGTGTCAGTTCTCTTATCCGACATTGCATGATTTGATGTCAAATGTTTGGCAAAAATCTGACATAAATTATGATTTCTTGTCGGGTTTTACACCACCAGTGATAGCCTCTTTTATAGTAGTGTATGCAAGATAAATTGGGGTTTCAAAACTCTCACTCTTAGAATAAAATTAGTAATTCTTTAATAATAAAATGAGAGCATAGGAACATAATCACAGTATTACAGTTTCAGAATCAAAATTTTTAAAGCTATAGTTAATTTTTTTTTTTAACAAAAAGATATAGTTAATTAAGTACTTGCTTTTGATTAAGCCTCTAAAATTTTAATCAAAGGCTAGCCATGTAGTAGTAATCTATTTAATCAAAGGATACACATAAAGTAAAAATTGAGTGGGAAAAATGCGGGAATCTGTAGTCACAATATATATAACTGGTCGGCTCCTCTCCCACAATACCCCCCTAGCTAACCCGGCCCCGATTAGGTGCTTGATCAAAGATCAACTGAAGTGTAGAAGAAAAATGATGCTAAAATACTTTAAATCTTAGTATACCTATTCGCCCTAGCTAGCCACTACCAAACTTACTCATGTACAATGATCAATCGTGCCCCTTTCTTGTTTTTTTTTTTTTTTTATACGTTTTAGTTTTTTTATTCTCTAAAGCTCGTCTTATAGCAAAAAGTTAAAATATGTAACTTTATAATTAGATTCATAATTTAAGTAGGATTAAATGGCACATATGATGTGACAGTCCGTCCCGGATTATTTGTACTGTAGGTGTGAAATGACATTTTTGCCCTTGGTGGGTATTTGTTATTTTGGGTGATTGTTGTGTTGTTTGGCTTGTTGCATCTGCTTCGTACGGACAAGACCCAAAACCCCTCTCTCTCCTTCTCTCTTCTTCTTCCTTCGTACGGACAAGACCCAAAACCCTTGAAAACGTTACAGATCGAGGTGGAAAATTATACCTTTGTGTTCGTGAGGACCATACGAGCTCAACTATACCAATTTCAGGTAAGGGATCTTTCGATTTCACGTCGAACCAGGAATCTCCATTTTGGTCACCGTTCATGCACACGTGAAATGTTGTTTTTCAGGGAATTTGAAGTTTATAGGAAGTTTAGTGAGGTCCTTAGGAAGCTCGGGGTGGTTCGTTGGAAGGATTTGGACATCACGATCGTGAGTTGCAAGTTTGGCCAATTTTCCTCGAATTTCTCCAGCAAGATCCTGCGATCTTTGAGGTTTCAAATAGTTATAACGTTGTTCTACTCATCTCCAGCTTTCCATTGGCGAAAATTTCATAGAAATTGGTGAAGAAACAAGTGAGAAACGAAGATTTGAAAAATTTCCAGTTTTCCAACGACCAAGGATTCACCGGAGAAGAAGACGGAATATTCTGACGTCATCAGTTAATTTGAACGGAATTTGTTAAGGTTTAACGGAATATTCCTGACGACGTTAACTGACGCCGTCAGCGTGCCTAGCACGTGGCCGCGCATGGGAGGCGCGTAGGGCCGTGCCCTCGCAGGCGCGTGGACCTTCGAAAAATTATTTTAAAAATATGGGGATGTTTGTGAGGTTGAGTAGATCACGTTAGTGTATTCACACACCCCATTTTAACATTGTATGAGAAGTTATTACCTAGTTTTGGTTATGTGCTTTAAATTGACGTTTTTATAGTTGTTTCGCATATAGGTGAGACCTATCCTGAGGATGAGCGCAGTCACTCGAGACAAAGGGGTTACGACCCTTCCACATATCAGTGAGTGGGCTTTTGGTTTTCCATATATACCTATATACTTGTGGTTTTTCCCAGAAAATGAAATGGAATGTTTATATGTTTTAAAATGCCATGCTTAGTGTGTGCCTATTTATTTATGCATGAGTAGTTGCATATATGTACGTTTGGTGCTACAGACGCACAGGTAAGTGCCAGGTAAGTTATAGTTTATGGTTGTGACGTAGTAGTTATGTGATATGCATAGAGAGCTCAAATCTACACCCCCGGTGTTAGTGCTCCCGCCCAGAGTAGGGCACAGTTCTTCACGTGATGTTCACCTCCTGCACCACACGCTCATCTTGGATCCAAGTTAGATGCAAAGTCCTATCGTACAAACCACTATAAGTGGTTCCGACTAGTAGGTGACCAGCGATTATTCGTTCAGTCTTTACGTAATCGTAGCACTTGAGTGTATTTATTTACACCCAGTCCTGTCGTACAAACCACTTTAGGTGGTTTCGACTCATGTGCAAGTATAGTTATTGAGTTAGGGATTTGAGCTCTAGATTCAGCCATACAGGTCACGTTAGGTGACTCTGGCTGACATGTTACTTGCATTGATTGACATTACCTGGGTTACTTACATTTTATGTAGAGGCATTCGACATGGCATATTTCTTAATATGTTTTCGATATATGTGTATATTCTATTTTCTGGGAAACTATACAGGTTTTACGGCGAAGGGTTAGAACTTTTGTTAATGAAATGATTTTGATAAACTTTGTTTTTGCCCACTCACACTTTCTGTTTTGCGTCTCTCCAGGTTCTAGTTTGGTTTGCTCTTTTGGTGGCTTACGAGGAATCCACGGCATATCTGACAGATTATCACCAGTGTGGGACCACCTCTGGGTGTGTTTAGTTAGTGTTTGTTCCTCTAGACTGCAATAGGCTTTCTGTGCACTGAATATTGTTTTTCACACTTACACTTGCACTTGTACGTTAACTACATTGTTTAGTAGTTTGGTTTTTATTTATTCATACTTTTATTATTATATTTTGCTTCCGCACTGTGCACATGGCTACGTCACCCTTACGTGACGGCCAGCAGGCCTTGATTTCGGTCGGGGTGTGTCAGTTTGGTATCAGAGCATAGGTTTGGCAGTCCTGCATATTTTGTGAGTGTTCTAATTGTTTTGGTGTCTTCTGTCAGAACTATGCCGCCTTGTAGGGAACCACGTCGCTCTACTGAGCCTAGTTTCCCTGATGTAGTTCAATTGGGGGAAGCTATTGCTACCACTGTTCAGTCGGCGTTCTGCCCTCCCCAGAGGATTCCTCTAGAGACCATGTATAATTTGAAGCTGGATAAGTTTGAGGTCCACGAGGGTTTTAAGGGAGCTGAGCGGTGGCTAGACCATATTGAAAAGACATTTCGAGTGTTGCATAATCAGGGGAATCTTCCTGTTGAAAAGTGGGTAGAGACGACTTCATGGTTCTTGGGTAGGGAATCGTCATCCTGGTGGGAACAGGAGGTCCGTCGTTTGACCCAAGAAGAAAAGGCTGACTGGGAAGTGTTTAAGCATTTGTTTCGGAAAAGGTTTGTGCCTCCTGAGTACAGTAATCGTAAGAAGCAAGAATTTATCGAGTTGAGGCAAGGGAAATTGACGGCGAATGAGTATTATCAGAGGTTCACTGATTTATCTAGTTATTATCCGGAGGTTGCTGACAAAAACAAAGCTTTTATCTGGAGGCATTCAACATGGCATATGTTTTCGATATATATTTATATTCTATTTTCTGGGAAACTATACAAGTTTTATGGTACGGGATTAGAACTTTTGTTGATGAAATGATTTTGAAAAGCTTTGTTTTTGCCCACTCACACTTTCTATTTTGCGCCTCTCCAGGTTCTAGTTTGGTTTGCTCTTTTGGTGGCTTATGAGGAATCCATGGCATATCTGACAGATTATCACCAGTGTAGGACCACCTCTGGGTGTGTTTAGTTAGTGTTTGTTCCTCTGGACTGCAATAGGCTTTCTGTGCTCTGAATATTGTTTTTCACACTTACACTTGCACTTGTACGTTAACTACATTGTTTAGTAGGTTGGTTTTTATTTATTCGTACATTTATTATTATATTTTTCTTCCGCACTGTGGACATGGCTACGTCATCCTCACATGACGACCAGCACGCCTTGATTTCGGTCGGGGTGTGTCATATGACATTGCATATCTTGGAGCTTAGTTTCAATATCACTGGAAAAGAAAGTATTTTCACACACTATTTGTAGCTTCACACGCTCTTTTTTATGTCTAACAATTGAATTGAATCATCAAATGGAATCAATAGTTAGGATTAAACAAAGGGGTATAAAAGACTAAAAAAGGTGTGTGTTGATCATTTTCCATCAGAAAATCTTACCCAGCCTAAAATACAAAGTACATTGAAAGGAATTAATGCATAATGTGCAAAAGAATGCGAATATATGTGAAAACTTTTTTAGTACACACACACACACACACACACACACACATATATATATATGGGACACTTTGGATGCAGTCTCTAACTACCAATGTTCTTTGACCGAAATCTTTGTGGTTTTTTGTTTCTGATCGAAGTCCCTGACATTAATATAATAATTTATTTCTATGTAGGCTATTATATTTTTAACTTACAAATGAAATTTGTAGTTATTTATATTAATGAGATTTAAAATAAAACCCCATAATTTACGGGATTAAAAATATTAAAGATAAATTATACTCTCCAATATATTATGTGTGTATTTATACACATGAGTACGGTTATAAAAAATTAACCAAAAAATTATTGTTCCAAAACATAGGTACATTTTTCAAAAAAATAAAAATAAAAAAAAATATTAGGCTTAATAACATTGTTATATTTCTACTATTAAACTTGACATAGATACATTCTCAAGTCAACGAAATAAAATGTACCCATATAAGTTTAAATATGGATTAGAGAAAAGATTGAATGAATTTTATCTAAAAAAATGGGTACATTTTATATTAAAAAGGGTACATTTGTCATATGACAAATTGGTATATTAAAAAAATGGGGACATATCAATTCTTTTATAAAAATTTTAATGGGTACAAACTTATTCTAATTTTATTTTTTATATTTTAGAAATGTTTGAATTGAAAATTAATTAGGAGTTTAATAAGGGTATGAGTATTAAAATTCTAAATCAATTACTAATTTTTATTATAAAGATTATGTAACTTACATGTAATTCATTAATATATTAATGATAGGGATTTTGATCAAAATCTAAAAACTAATAAGGTCTTAATCAATAAATATTAGAAATGTGACAACCCGTTCCAACTTTTACGTTTTTATTTTATTTTAAAGGCGTGAATTTACGAAAATGCCATAGAGGCAAAGATTTTGACTTATGTTGATCATCGTCTAGAGAGACGTATGACTTATTCTTTTAACATATTCTCGTAGTACTCATTGGTGTTAACGCATAGGCGAAAGCCGTTTACGAGTCCGGATTATAACGGTATAGTTATGGGCGTTTGAAAATGGCTATTTAAAGTTTAGTTATAAATTATTGGAATTCCCACCTTGTGGGAAAGTGGCCAATCAGATTTTAGGCACAAATAGGAAGGAACCAATTAAATTAGAGGGAGAGGGTGAGACCCAATCAGAAAAAGAAAAAAAAAAAAATGGGAAAGCTTCCCGTGCACCCATGCCCGACCGTGTGTGACCACCCATTTTCCATTCAACGCCACCACCACCATCTTGAAGCTCTCATTCCCCTCTACAAAACCCACCCAAGAACCACCTTGATTAACCACTGTATGTGGCGGTTTGAGGCCACGAAAGTTGGCGGTTCTCATGGTGCTCCGGGCACCCTTTTTGATTTTCCGGCAAATCGGCAAAGTGATGGCCGATGCCACCACTTGGGCTTTGTAGCCCATCATCCCAGGAGCAAAACCGAACCAACCTTGACCCCGTTGGACCATTGTACAAGACGAATCGACACCGGCAAGTTTTAGGAACCCGCCGGTTTTGTGGAAAAAATTGACCATCTTCCGTCCACTTTTAGACTTCGTGGCAGGTATGAAAGTTGCTCCACTCACTGAGATCTTCATTTCTGTGAAGGTTGAGAACTTTTGGAAATAGTTGGATTTTCCGGCGAGTCGGGGCGGCCGACCGCCACCCGCGGCAGCGCGTGCGGCGGCGCGTGGCCAATGGGCCGCCAATGCTATTTTTAGGCTATGTCGAATGTCTTAAATTCAGTTTTGTTATTTGAATGACGTAGGTTGATCGTTGGAACCTAAATTCGTTACGATATGTTACTTAATAAAAATGTGAATCGACGATCCGACCGTTGGATCGTCACCAAAATTGGATAAATTATAATACGTAACATTTAAAGATCATAGGAATTTATGGATCGGGAATCCGACGTACGGATCTTCCCGAATTGGATTTGTAAGTTAGTAAAATAAATATTCACAACCACTTGGTTTTGGCCAATTGGAGGAGATCCGACCGTTGGATCGTAATGAAATTTTAATATGTTATTCTAGAAACATATTTTGGATCTTTGGGAGTTGCGGATTGGAAATCTGATATGCGGATCTTCCGGGTCGAGTTATACAGGGTTGTAGACTATACCGTCGACCTTTGATCGACTGTTGACTTGTGGTCAATGGGTCTCAAACTTTTAGAATGCCCTTGAGGTTGTGTTTTATGCGAATTACGTATTCTACTGATAAGAGTTCTGAGATGTGATTCGATAATTGGTCACAGACACCAATCATTCAGGACGCCTTGATGCGTGCGCTAGAGAATCATAGCGTGGACTCTAGGTGAGTGGATCTTTTCCTTTTTATCGTACATATTATTGAGAGTTGTATCGACACTTTTAAATTGATTAGGTATATTACCTTCATATAATTATTCTGAATGCTTGAAGTACTAATATGAACTACGAATGGCTTGATCCCTGTTTAGGGTACGTAGGCAGTCTAACGAGACGTTAGATGCAGCCATAATATATTTGAGACAAAAGCCTTATTTGGGAAATTGAGTAATGTGAAGGAAATTGGTAAAGGCAAGTTTTAGTTTTGTGAATTAGTTAGTTAAATTAGTGTTAATTGGGTTGTCATGGATAATTATCCCTGAAAATAAGTAGTTCGGGAATAGGGCGTTATTGATTGTACATTTCACACCGTATTGTATATCATTGAAAATGCTACGACATGGTTAAGTATTAGATTGCATCATGGTATATCCATGTGTATATTACTTGCATATAATTATTGGGAATGCTTTCAAGTGCAAAGGTGAACACAGGACACCCAGGTAAGTTCAGGTGAGTTTATGGTGTTAGTTTAATCGATTGAGTTATAGCATAACTACATTTATGTGTTAGGAAACTCCGATACTATCATACTGGTTGCCATGAGTTGCACATGTTATATTGAGATGCATTGAGAGCTCATAAACCTGCACCTCGGTGTTAGTGCTCCCGCCCATGGCCAGGGCACAGTCCTTCACGTGATGTTCGCCTCTCGCACCTTATGCTCACCTTGGACTCAAGGTAGGTGCACATGCTTGTCGTACAGACCACTATAGGTTGTTCCGACTCGTAGGTGACCCGCGATTATTCGCCCAGTCTTCACGTGATCATAGCACTTGAGCGTACTTATTTACACCCAGTCCTATTATACAGACCACTAGAGGTGGTTCCGACTCGTGTGCAGGGATGTTTGATGAGCTATAGATTAAGTCGTACAGGTCACTATAGGTGACTCCCAACTTGTATGCTAGTATTGATTGATGAGATATAGATACCTGCACCCCGGTGTTAGTGCTGCTGCCTGTGGTCAGGGCACAGTCCTTCACGTGATGTTCACCTCCCGCTCCTTACGCTCACCTTAGACTCAAGGTAGGTGCACAAGCTTGTCGTACAGACCACTATAGGTGGTTCCGACTCGTAGGTGATCCGCGATTATTCGCCCAGTCTTCACGTAATCTTAGCACTTGAGCGTACTTATTTACACCCAGTTCTGTCGTACAGACAACTAGAGGTGGTTCCGACTCGTGTGCAGGGATACTTGATGAGATATGGATAAGTCGTATAGGTCACTAGAGATAACTCCCTACTTATATACTAGTATTGATTGATGAGATATGAGTACAGTTGTATGGATCACGTTAGGTGATTCCGGCTGATGTATCATTTTATATTGATTAAGTTCATTTGGCCTACTTGTTAATGCATTGTAGAGTCTATGGACACGGCATACCCGTGGTTTTGGCCATTTTTTAGCATGTGTGGATATATAGATATATATATATATATATATGTTTGTGTGTGTGTAGTACTGTCCTATAGAAAACGATAAGGGAATTACTATGAGGGGTTATTACTGTTAGAAAGGTAATAGTTTTGGGAAGCTTGGTTTTACTGCTTACTCACACTTTCTGTTTTGTACCCCTTCAGGTTTTAATTGCTGAGTTCATATCGATGAGGATATATGCCTAATCTTAGTATTGGTGGCTACTTTTAAGGGTAGGATTCTTACCCACACTACTGTACGTTACTTATGCTCTGACATCGCGTGTGAAATGGGTTTGCTCCCACTCGTAGCGCACTCTGGTATTTAGACACTTTTAGTTTGAAATTTATTCACATTTTTTACACTATCAC